TTTAATTTGAGAATCTATTATGTATTTTTAAATAGTCTCCATGCAGTTTGTAGGCATTTTACCCTTGTGACTGTTTTTTCTAATTTCCATTTAACTAGCTTCATCATTATTGTGTAGTTCCCCTTTTGAAGTTATATCCTACTGTGTTGGGTTTTTTTGGTGCTTCCCCCCCCCCCATAAGGATGTTAAATTTAATTACATTATTGTCACTATTACCAAGCAGTTCGGCTACATTCACTTCCTGGACCAAATGCTGTAACTCCACTTAGGACTAAATCAAGACTTGCCTCTCCCCGTGTGGGTTCCAGGACAAGCTGAGGTGACATGTATGAAGTCAATATGGGGATATTTGAAATCCCCCATTATTATTGGGTTTTCTGTTTTTGTAGCCTCTCTAATCTCCCTGAGCGTTTCACAACCACCATTCTGGATAGGTGATCGGTAGTATATTCCTATTGCTATATTCTTATTATTCAAGCATGGAATTTCTATCCATAGAGATTCTATGGTACAGTTTGATTCATTTAAGATTTTTACTTTATTTGACACTATGCGTGTAGAGGAAAAGTTTGTGTGTACTTGGGGGCAGGAAGCAAAGACCTCGGGAATTCTGGCAATTATTACTCCCTGCTTTTTATATCACACACTATAAAACAATGACATAGCAACATTTATTTCAGTTACTTAAGTGAGCGTTGTATAATTTGGACAAATTAGAAGCAGAAATTTAAAAGAAATACTAAACATGATTAGTGTATTATTACATTAATAAATAAGCTTCTATAATCTCTATCAGGTGTGACACGAGAAGGCATATCTGCACCTTTCAAAATAGCCATCCGAAGATAAAATATTGTAGCAAACGGTTAGTAAACTGTACTGAAACGAACAGACTTGGATTATGCAGGACACTCTGATCAACAGAAGAGGGCACTTGTTTTCTAGGAAATAAACACATTCAATACAAAAAGAGTTCAGCAGCAGAAACCAATGTTTATTTCTCCTCAATTCATAGCTAGTGTCTGATTCTTCCCTTTTCTTTTTAAGTCCTGAGTTATAAAGTCAGGCTCTATCTGTCAGCAACAATGAATCCGACTTTAATACAAGATTAAACTGCTGAAATAAGAGGAATGGGTTTAATCTCATTAATATGTTCATACACAGGAACAGGAGACTAGTAAAGACTGTCTTTGTGCAAGTTTCCCCTCAAGCAATGCCAATGAACTGAAATTCTGGTTTATGGACCTCAGTGCTATTTCAGTTCTAAATCCTTCCAAAACAGTTCTGCCAATGTACCTGAGTCCTCACCTACTACATAACCCTAGCTGTTTCAGTCCAGGATCCTCCCAGTACTTTGTCAAAGTATCTCAGTCCTAACCTCTTACATCCCCAGGGTATTTAAAAACCTTTGTCCAAATCATACTAGATTGTATCATGATTTTGTGATGCAGAAAAGTATCCACGAGGGACTAGATGTACACAAAATTAATTTTTGTTTGTGACCCATGAAAAGATTAGAACTGAAATGCAGTAGTGAAGGGCCTCTGGTTTAAGACAATTTGCCAGCTAAACTCAATGTAATGATCTTTTGCAATACTGTTTCAAGGAATATTGGACATCTTTTCATTCCATTAGCCTGTTTTCATTGCCTGTAATTTTAATCAGTCTCTTAATCGAGGGACAAGGGAAGTTCATTTCTGGATCACTAACATTTTAGGCAGGACAGTTATGATTGAAATGGAGGACTTCTCATTGCTTGATGTTTAAAACAATGTTACCTTGAAGTTTAGATTTGCTGGTGTAATTTTTGTAAGTTTCTCTTGATGCCCTTTCATTGCATGCCATTTTTTCCAAGCTGGTTCCCATCTGTTAAGATCCCTTCTTAATCTTTTAAATCAGTTACTGAAGACATTTATACTTTGTTATTTTTAAAAAAATGACATGAGGGTATTTATGCTCATAAAAGTGAGGGGGCTAAAAGACACTTGCTTGAGCCACAATGCAAACAGACAGTGTGCAAGTTTCCCTGCACAGATCTGTCAAAACACCTCTTTGTGATTGTTATTCAGTGATTTTGCATATCACTGATTTATCACACATTCAAATTCCACACCTGGGTCTGTCCTGAACAGAGACTCAAATGATACAATCCTTTCGGGATGTGACAGGACAAACACATGTATTAGGACAAATACGGTTTTTAAATTTTATTTTATTAGCCAAAATAACATCTGTGTATAACCCACACCTCCACCTAGTCCTACCAAATGTTTTGCACATGGGTAGTGCACAATGGAGGCTAAGCTTCCCCAAACCTCATGTCACCAGGGTGGGGGGGGGGGGGAAGAGGGGGATGGAGGAGTGGCAGATTACCACAAGAGCCCATGGGGCCCCGGCCAATTTGGGGCCCCCAGGAAAAACCTCCCCCAGCCATGTCCCCGGGGCTGCTTTTCTGGTCTCGAGGCCACAGTGGGAAAGGGTGGGGGGAAGGGAGTGAGAAGGGGATGCGATATTGGGGGAAGAGGCAGAGTGGGGGAGGGGCTGTGGGAAAGGGGTAGAATGGGGTGCGGCCATGAGTGTGGCCGGGGGGTGGAACAGGGGATGGGCTACAGGCTCAGGGCTCTGGCAAGGGACAAGAGTTCCGCCATGGTTGGGCCGAGCTCTCAGTCCTCCATGCCGCCCTGGCTGGGGCCATGGGGGAGGCTGAGAGAAGTGAGCGGGGGTGTGGACTCAACCAGAAGAGGGCCAGGCTTCAGCTGGAAGAGATGAGGCAGGGGCTAGACTCCCCAAGAGGAAGCTTCACCCACCACCCATGGTTTAGCATCTGATTCTCCTTTCACAGCAGTGTAAAAGGTAACTCCAATGGGGTTATGCTGGTGTAAAACCAGTGTAAATTTAGGCTCAGGACCTTTGTGTTTAGACAAGGCTGCTCTTCCAACACAATACCACAGAAAAAAGTTAAGCTGACTTTATGACCTGACATGCATCTCACTTGGCAGAAGGCTCATGTCATAGCTACAAGATAATAATTTTACTAGACGACCAGGCAGAGTGAGATGCTGTGAAGGAGAAATCCCTTCCTCATAAACAAAAAGTATCTGCAATAATAGGAATGGGAATACAGACACAAGATACTTATATTTCTCCTTGAAATGTTCCAGTTTGAAAGTGTCTCTTTCAAGAAACAGGGCTGCTATGGTTCAGTTTGGTACAAAATACAAGCAGATCCTCTTAAACAAACAACTACTATAAATAAAGGAATAAAAATAAATCTGTTTAAGAAACACCAAAGGCCTAATCTTTACAGTGCTTTTCTCATGTAAACCATCTAACCCAAACCCCTTTCAAAACTCTGTAGGACTTCTGTACAACCTGATGTTACACTTATCTGTCACCAAGGCAAATTATTCTCACTAAAAGGATTTTGCCAAGTAATTAGAAACAGAAAGCTATATGGACATCTTCCGTATGTTCACTTTCCAGGATGGTAAATATTTTTCAATTAAAGTTGGAATCTATTGCCAACTCATTCACTTAATGAAACGTAAGGTTTATTTAGATTTTGAAATACTGCCATTTTCTCCATTATAAAGTGTAAAATGATAAAGACTAGGATCCAAATTCAGCTTTGGCACTGATGTTAATAGGAACTGACCCCATTAATGTCAGGGCTAAATCTGAAGCTACTTATGTATGTTAAAATCTGAAAATTATACGCTGATTGGGATTCCTCACTTTACCTCAAACTTACCTATAATCTCCCGAAATGCTACAGACCTGCCATTACACATGATTATTAATATAGCGGGCGCAATGAAATAAAGAGATCTAGCAGGATGTTCATAAGGCCTGTTGCTCTAAAAAATATTGGCAAAGTGGGTGCCTAAGTTTAAGCACCTGAATAAGTGCCCTGATTTTCAGAAGTGCTGCGTACCCACAGCTCCCATTAATTTTAAGAAATGATTTATTCCCTCTGTAGTAGTTACAGTGGGCTAATCAATTCATATGCTGATTGGTGAACGTTCTTTGGGCCTGAAGATCCGACGCAAGTTGTGGGTCAAACTTGAATCTTAACTAGTGACCCCTGGGCCACTCTTTGTGTGGAGGGTATAAATGGACCATTAAGGAGCAGTAACCAGACATTATTTTTAATAAGCTCAGCTCTGCAGGAACATGCAGTGTCTCAGCTTTGCCCTCACTGGTAGATCATAAACAAACTATACTTGACTCTTATACATTGAGATGTACAGATTAAGAACAAAGCATTTTACAAAGGAGGGAACTCATCCTTATATTACACACAAGGAGACTGAGTCAGACAGAAGAAGAAATTTGACCAAGGGTAGTGGCAGAGGCAGGAATAAAATAAAATCCAGGTCTCTTGACACCCTGTCTAGTGCCCTATCCACTAATGGTTCTGTCACTTTTAACATTAAGAAAGTTTCAGAAGAACTGTGGGGGTATGAAATGAAAACCTGGGTAACAAGGACGGCATTGCATACAGTGACCAGAATTCCAACCTTTGTCTCTGGCAACATTTTAAGGCCAGTCAAATTTGTAATGCCATTTATTCGTAAGTCGGGTGCAGAAGTACTTGGCAAGGAGCATTTTAAGCAGTGTGCAGTAATTTAACGAAACAAGACATGTTGTCAGATTTTAATCCCTCCCTCCCCCTTAGAATCAAATCAGATCTCCCCAAATTTCTGGCCCTTTAGAATTCCTCATGTCCTCACCAGTTCTCAAAAGCTAAACTTCCTTCATGTGTTTTGGAAGCCTGAAGCAATAACACTTCTTAAGGCCACACTGCAACAAGAACAGACCTTATATAGTGGGTACTGCAGTGGGGCTGTAGCCACGTTAGTCCCAGGAAAGCTTGACTCTCTCACCAACAGAAGTTGGGCCAATAAAAGATACCACCTTACCCACCGTGTCTCTCTAATAGACAGACTCTGTGCACCAGGGAAGAGGATGGTGTGAACCTTGCCTTGAATTCTTGTTACCTTAAAAATGTGTGCTTTGAGAATGTGATGTCCCAGCTCAATAGTCTGTTGTCGGTTTAGTTTCCCCTCCTGACGAGAAAACCAGAAGGCAAGCAGTGTGTGGCCACTCCTAGGAACAAGAATTTTAAAAAGTTAGTATTTGAAGAATCGCATTTCATTTTTAAATCCCAGGGGTCTTCCTTGGGGGTCGGTGTCATTCAGCATCACCGATCTTATGTGCTGCCTTACAAGGAAGACCTAGGCTATCAGTCTCACTCAAACTACTTCCCCAGAGAATGACTTCTCAGATCCACATGCCTGTAGGGTGCAAGCTGAAGAACTTGCTTTTAATTGGTTGTAAACTCTGACCAAACAACTGCTGAAAAAGAGCCTGGACGTTTGGTTGAGTCCGTCTAATGAGGATGTATCTCTGCATACTTCTCAATGGTACCTCACTATTTTAGACCCAATTGCTTTATGTTTTCTTACTCTAATTCCTTGACATAAGTAGTGTTGGGTCATGAAGTTGAGACTAGAAAAACGTTTTTGTTAAAGAAGAGAAGCGTGGATCTCATTTCAAGTTTCCTCTGTACACACAGCATCTGGTGTTCTCTCTCTCTTTTTGGGTCTCTGTTAACTCATTTTAAATTGTGGGGATGGTTAGAAAAGTGACTACATATAAATGGTACCTTCTCAGGGCTTGTCTACATGGAGAAATCAACCAGAACTGCTATTCGTACCCAACCTAAAATAACTTTCAAGTGTAGACAAGCCCTTATTCTTCAGATCTGCTGTGTGTGTGTGTGTGTTTTCTGAGTCATATTTGCTGGCTTTATGGACAAAGTAATATTTTACAACAGTACTTTTTTACTCCTGTTAGCCTTGCAGAGCCAACCCAGCTTGGGAGAATGAACTGGACTAATTCTGATTTGAATACCATGACATAAACTAATCGCAGGACTTTTATTACTGCTGAGTGTGTATGACTTAAGAACTATGCTTGATTTACAGATTCTGGGGGAATTACCAGTACTGGAAATTAGGAAATACGTGGTTTTACTTGTAATGTAAACAGGTATGAACTGTAATCAGTGCGATACAGCAATCATAGAACCCAGTGTTGCCATTTTAAAATCACTTTACAGAGAAAACCTGTGCTTTGAGGGAACACCATCAGCTTAACTTTTTGAAAGTGAAACATTTTAATAAAATCCAGTTTCAGAAAAAAGAAAAGGAGGACCTGTGGCACCTTAGCGACTAACCAATTTATCTGAGCATGAGCTTTCGTGAGCTACAGCTCACTTCATCGGATGCATAAAAGTGGAAAATGCAGTGAGGATATTTTTATACACACAGACCATGAAAAAATGGGCGTTTATCCCTTCAAAAGGTTTTCTCTTCCCCCACCCCACTATCCTGCTAGTAATAGCTTATCTAAAGTGATCACTCTCCTTACAATGTGTATGATAATCAAGGTGGGCCATTTCCAGCACAAATCAGGTTTTCTCTCCCCCCACCCCACTCTCCTGCTGGTAGTAGCTTATCTAAAGTGATCACTCTCCTTACAATGTGTATTATAATCAAGGTGGGAAAGAAGCCCTTGAGGAATTCCACCATGATTTCAACAATTTCCATCCCACCATCAACCTCAGCCTGGACCAGTCCACACAAGAGATCCACTTCCTGGACACTACGGTGCTAATAAGCAATGGTCACATAAACACCACCCTATACTGGAAACCTACTGAACACTATTCCTACTTACATGCTTCCAGCTTTCACCCAGACCACACCACACGGTCCATTGTCTACAGCCAAGCTCTACGATACAACCGTATTTGCTCCAACCCCTCAGACAGAGACAAACACCTACAAGATCTCTATCAAGCATTCTTACAACTACAATACCCACCTGCTGAAGTGAAGAAACAGACTGACAGAGCCAGAAGAGTTCCCAGAAGTCACCTACTACAGGACAGTCCTAACAAAGAAAATAACAGAACGCCACTAGCCGTCACCTTCAGCCCCCAACTAAAACCTCTCCAAAGCATTATCAAGGATCTACAACCTATCCTGAAGGACGACCCATCACTCTCACAAGTCTTGGAAGACAGGCCAGTCCTTGCCTACAGACAGCCCCCCAACCTGAAGCAAATACTCACCAGCAACTACATATCACACAACAGAACCACTAACCCAGGAAACTATCCTTGCAACAAAGCCCGTTGCCAACTGTGTCCACATATCTATTCAGGGGACACCATCATAGGACCTAATCACATCAGCCACACTATCAGAGGCTCGTTCACCTGCACATCTACCAATGTGATATATGCCATCATGTGCCAGCGATGCCCCTCTGCCATGTACATTGGACAAACTGGACAGTCTCTACGTAAAAGAATAAATGGACACAAATCAGATGTCAAGAATTATAACATTCATAAACCAGTCGGAGAACACTTCAATCTCTCTGGTCATGCAATTACAGACATGAAAGTTGCGATATTACAACAGAAAAACTTCAAAACCAGACGCCAGCGAGAGACTGCTGAATTGGAATTCATTTGCAAATTGGATACAATTAACTTAGGCTTGAATAGAGACTGGGAGTGGCTAAGTCATTATGCAAGGTAACCTATTTCCCCTTCTTTTTTCCTACCCCTCTGCCCCCGTTCCTCAGACATTTTTGTTAAACCCTGGATTTATGCTGGAAATGGACCACCTTGATTATCATACACATTGTAAGGAGAGTGATCACTTTAGATAAGCTATTGCCAGCGGGGGGGGGGGGGGAGAGAAAACCTTTTGAAGTAATAAACACCCATTTTTTCATGGTCTGAGTGTATAAAAATATCCTCACTGCATTTTCCACTTTTATGCATCCGATGAAGTGAGCTGTAGCTCACGAAAGCTTATGCTCAAATAAATTGGTTAGTCTCTAAGGTGCCACAAGTACTCCTGTTCTTTTTGCGAATACAGACTAAGACGGCTGCTACTCTGAAACCTGTCAGTTTCAGAAATAAATTTTTATATAATCAGCCAGATGCTTCATTCTGTTATATCTCCCTAACACTGTTGTAATTCCACTCTGATGTAAAACAATATTACAAGGGTTTCTAAACTTTCCTGTTGATATTTACAAAGATGGTTTCAGCAAGGGAGAAGCTAATTAACTGACAGGAAAGTGAAATTGGACTGTATATATTGAGTGCTGGCAAATGCATAAAGTAAACTGGAAAACTTTCAGTTCTAGTGATCTTAGGTGTCCTTTAAAGATTAAGGACCTGATTCTCTTCTGCTTTGGGCCCTCTATAGTCATTTAACACCAGTGAAAAGCAGGTATAAAACGTAACCAGATCAGAAATTAATTTAGAATTGTACATCCACTTTACACTGGTGAAAGTGGCAGCACAAGATGTAAAGCAGAGAAGGATCAGGCCCCAAAGAATGTTCCGTACTTGGACTTGTATGGCCTGGAAACAGTATCTCCTGGTAAAAAAATCTCTTGTTTTTGTTAGAAGTGCTTCTCCTGACAGCAACACTCCTTTCTCATTTTACATTTAAATATACTGTACTTTGAAAAGGAAAAAAACAAAACAACAAAGAGATTCACGTGAAGGAACACTTTGAGAAGCAGAGTTACAAAAAGCAGTGTCCGGATTAATGTATAAGCAGCCCAGATACAGTGACCTCCCGGTCTTTTTGAGTGCCAGCTCGGCAATCTTCTACATCGTCCACATATATCAGAAACATAAATAAGCACTGTTAGAACTGTCTTCTTTGTTGTACTCCACAGTGAAAAACGTGTGAGAAGAGAGAGAATTGTCTGTAACTTCCCCTTGACACTACAGATAAGGAACAAAGGCATGTGTATTGCATTATTTTGCTTTTCTGAGACCTTGGAAGCCTCAGGGACTTTTTTAACCAATTTCTTTTCTGGAACCAATGTAGCGGTACATTTAAAAAACAACAACCCTCCCCACCCCACAAAGCTAACACGATGTGACTTGTAGCTTTGATAGGGTTTTTAAGGACAGAGCATGCCACTATCCCATTAGTACCTTATCAAATGAAAAAACTAATATACCAGTGCTTAGAATGATCTAAATGCAACTGAGTAATCTAGACTAGAAGATCAACGTTTCCACAATGCTAGGGCTTATCAGCATGTCTAAATCCAAAGAACGATAATCCTTAGAGACAGTACTTTCTAAAAGGGAAACTGTTTTGTTTTAAGCATAGCACGGAAGTGAAGGATTTGTAAACCAGGGCCAGGTGTTCAGCAAGCTTCTCATACGCAGCCCTGCCAATGAATCTTAATTCTGACAGGTAATACAGAGACTGATGATTATTTGCCAGATGGTAGGATGGTTTTAAAATATGGACACTTGACCATTAGCAGAGGGGTGCAGGAACAATTTTTATGGTGGGGGGTTGAGAGCCATTGAACCAAAGTGCAAAGCCTGATGGAAACCACTTCAAGCCAGGGAGTGCGGCAGCACCCCTAGTTCCAGCACCAATGCATTAGCAGAATAGGATGAACAGCAAAACACATTTTCAATGGTTTTCCTTAAAAGGCAGGACTTGAACCCTTTTCTTCATGAGTCAAAGGCCAGAGCATTAAACTTATACATAATTCTATTGTACCTCTCCCCAAAATGCAATAAATGTAAAAGTACAACATCAACTTAAATATCAGTCTGCCATCTGAAACTTTTGTACCTACTATTGTTACAAGTAACGCTTAAGATGAGTAGAACTGAAAAGGATTCCAGAGAAAATATATTTATTTCTGTTTATTCAGTTTATGTATTTTGTTTATTTGGCAGCATTTTGCGTATAGTCAGTTTCACCGCTGTCCATGTGCAGGTGTGTAGCTTAATCAGTAACTTCCCTGTTTGTGCGAGTCTTTCACACAGCAGTGACGGACAGAAAACCGTGTGCCAGATGGGAACGGGACTGGAAAACCATGGAAATGGCAGGGGGAGTTTGAAGTGGTTGTAGCACCTGAAGCCTCTTTAGGAGTTTTTTTTTTTGTGTGCCTGTGAAATTGACTAGATTTGCAGTCAGTGGTGCCCCTTTACAGAAGATAATCTCGCAAACACCATGTTTACAGTAGCAGCGGTT